GTCAGCCATTTCTGGCCGGCAACTTTCAGCGTCATTAAGCCGCTGCGCCACCGCGTCCCCTCTCAGGTGGTGTGTGGTGTTCCTTTTCTAGCCAAAACAACACCATTGCCCAGAAGAGGGAAGTGCAGCCCCAAGTGTAGCAAAAGCACCAAACATTGGGGGGTGGGAGGAACTCCCCAAGCAGCTTGGAGAGGACAGAGTACATGCAGACTGACTCTGTGGCCTCTGGGAACAGAAATGGAGGGGGGGGGGATAAAATGGGGTGGCTGGAAACCTGAACAGCAACATTCCACACTACAACATTTTGGGCATCCCCTTTCATCACAGATACAGTGTTTCCCTCTAAAAGTACAGTTGCCCTCTTGCATAAACAATTTAGGTGCCTGCCAGCTACTCCTGTATTTCATTAGTTTCTCAGTTGTTCAATGCCAAGCCCAGTTCAGCTCCATTTCTACATCAGTTTATGAATTCCTCTGATGCACACTAAAAGCTGAACTGCTTCTACATCTCACTGGCATTTTTCTAGTATTTGTACTTTTGGGACAAGTAGTTCCCCACTCTCATCCACAAGGCCACACATTTTGATGTATATTTGTCTAGTCATATGCATTTTTGCCATATTTATATCTTATAAATAAATATGTATATCTTATAAATAAATACATGCATTGTACATTAATTCAGCGAGTTGGAATCTGTCTCACTCTGTTCCAAAATGTGCCAGTTGCACCTTTTTGCTTAGCCTACCATTTCCATGGCTCTAAATCAGGTCAATGGGTATAAAGGTTTTACACGGAAGAAATTTCTCATGTGTTCCAAAGCTTGCTGTGCCTTTGTTTGATGAGGATTGACCTCGTTGTGAGTCACATCTCAGGTTAAGGTTATGCCCTCCAAGTGGAACTGAATTTGGAAAAGGTTCCAGGCATTGCAATGGGTTCAGCTGGTAGAGAGAATTTTGCAATAACTTTGTCAACGCTTATGAAGCTGGACTCCTGAGAAAAGTCTATATTTTTAATGTTCTGTTTCAGGAAACTCCACTCAGTTGGAGTGTTTAGTAAACCTGCGTTCTGTTGATTAAGCAGACAGCATTGCTCAAGTGCCACCCTATCTGAGTATCCTAATCCTCACCTGACAATTCAAGGAAGGAGAAAGTGTATAACAGTGATGCTTTCTTACCTGCAGAAGCAGTTCCTACCAAAAAGGCAGAAGAGGGTGGGCACATGGCCCAGGGAAACAATGGAACTGCAGGAGCAGTCATTGCCTCACTGTGAAATATTTAAGATTACCTCTTTGGGTCCAGATCCATCTCCTGATCAGCAATACTCTTATCACATCCAGAGTCTGAGACATTTCAGTTTCATCTTTTAATGAATATGTTTCTGGCTCTCCCGATCTCAAGAAAATAAAATATGCATAAGCGTACATAAGAGTCTTCCATTTACTTTGGAAGACTCATTGCCAAAAAAAAAAAAAAAACTGTTTTACAGGTTTTCCTGTATTAACATCTGTATTCCTGGGTGTTGCTTAAACTCTCACACAAGAAGTACAGTTGATACAAGGATATGGATTATAATCCCTTTTTGCAGTGTGTTTTCATTACACACCTAGACATTTGTATACACACACATACAGCGGGAGAGGAGGAAATAAGGTAAAGGGCCTGTAAGCTGCCTAAGACATTCAGATTTTGTTAACAGTGTGAACTCTTGTGTACAAGTGAATATAGGAAGGAGTCCTTCACAAATGCTACATCTAGCATTTTGAAAGTTTGGGATGCCCTTGGTCAGAGCTGAAGCTGTATACCCCTATCAAGTTAGCCTAAATTGGTTGTGAGTTGTCACCCTGAAAGACATGTCGGCCCTGGGACTTCTTCAATCTTTAGATCACCACAAGGGACAGTAGAACAGAAGCCTAGAAGCATCCAAAGCAGGCAATGATTTCTGACTAGATTATTTCTGACTGTATCCTCTCTGATGTTAGAGGAGTTCCTCCAGGCCCAGGAGGAGACCAACTTTGGACTGCAGAGGATACAATAAGTGACTTGACATCAACCTGAAATCCAGAAGCCTCTAAGAAGCCAGAATCATCATCTAAATTACTGGGAGAGCGATGAAACAAGACGAGGACTTTCAAAGAGTATCTGAGTTTTGGACCCCAGGTTCTGAAAAGGAGCAGGATACTGCCAAAACTGCATCAAAAAGCCCTCCTGAGAGTCCCTCCATTCCAAACAAAGCAAAACTACCAGCATTCCAGTGAAGTGAAATTTGTAGTTTTTTCTTAACTGGCTTTTCTGGTCCGATCACTTCTGATTCTCTTGAAAAGGCAAGGAAGCCCAGCTAATTGACTGGAGACTGAGAAGCTCCAGCCCCTTGGGGAGATGACTCAACGTTCCCGATTTGCATAGCGAGGCTGGACAGCTCCTATGCCTTATCTGTGGTTATAAAGGAACTCTTTCGGGATCCCATTCTGATACTTTGCCAGCTGCTTCAGGCAAAACCAGGAGCCGCCTTCTCACAGCTCTGCCAAACTCCACTCAGCAGAATCCTAGGGACAGCAAAGATACAGCGTGCGTGCATATACACAAGACAGAGGTATTTTGTTCTCATCTCTTTCATATGCATATATTGTCTGGCACGGCCATTGGTGCCTGAAAGAAGTTTATAATTGCGATATACTTGAGTGGAACATGTCTCAATTGTAGTGTAGAGCGTGTGGCTTCAGGATACATGTGATATATTTTTTGCACTGATGACCACAATCAAGGATAGTCCCAGTGGAAGCTGAATGAGTTGCATGTCAGCAGGCCTGAAATGAATGGATTCTTCCACATGCAAATTATCTGCATTTTCCTCACCATATTAAAACAAATTCCCCCCGGCACTAACCTTACTTTGTCTGAAAATAACATTATCCTTATACAGTTTTCAGAATGACAGTGTAAATAGTAATACTTTTTACTCTTATACTCTGAACATATGAAGTATTTTATAAGTTTTAATGCATCATAAGTATCCCAGAATAGCCAAAAAGCAGATGTTCACAGGTGACAGAAGAAGGCAATTTCCACAGAAAACCAATTTTTGGGGGCAGGTGGAGGGTATTTTTGTTGTTTGGAAAACACAAAATCCATTCAAATGTTAAATCACAGCCATGGTTATAATCTCTCTGATCATGAAGGAATTTTTGGGGAAAAAATGGTAATTAAATCACTGTTAACTCTCGCCCAGTTATTTTTTTGAAACAGAAAGACATAAATCAAGAGAATAAATAAGCAAAAATAATACAGTCGAAAAGAGTGTTTCTAAGCATATCCAGAGGGCTGTGAAGCTTTTCAACACAAAATATAGTTTAGAGGGGAATAGAATTCCCCCCCACAAAATTCGCCTGTCCTCTAACGGGGTTTTATAAACTTGCAAATTAAGGATAATGTATTTACTCAGATATCTTTTAAGTCCTTTATCTTTAGCAGTTGGCTCTCACTTTTAATGGGATCAATATCTCTGTTCACTTGGGTTTGTTTACTGAAGATTAACTTCTGTATGTGCCCAGGAGTTTCAGTAAATATATACATATCTAAGCTGTCAACTATGGGAAAACCAAGATATAATATTTTGAGGCAAATTCTCTGGTAACAGAGAAGCATGTATAATCTCACCTTTGTACGATTGTAAGTGGATCTTAACATAGTACTTGTCTTCATCTGCTTCTTTTTATCAAATGTTTGGTGGGATGGCTACTTTTTAGTTTTTGTTACTGGGTTGTTTTATTTGCACTTCTAAAATTGGTTTCCAGGTTGAATTACATTTTGTAGTCTAACTTGAGGAGGTTTTAACGTGATGGTGACATTTTACTACATTAAACAAGGGCCTTTCATGAATCAAAGCCAGGCACGGTTTTCAGTTTGCAATCCAATGCAGGCTAACTTTTGAGTCATTGGAGAATAAGTCCTATGAAATTCATTGGCATTTACTTTCAATAGGAAGTAAATACTGGAACACACTTCAGTGGGACTGGTGAACTCCATTCAAAAGTTCACATTGCCACACACAAAATCTGTTAATGTTAGTGTTTTCAGTGGTGATATGCAGCCCAAACCAAAAACTGAGAGGGCAAAAGAAAAAAAAGTGAATGGAGTAACAGATGCAACTTTTATTTTTGCAATAAAAAAAGAGAGTTAGTATTTAGGTACTCTTCTTCTTTGATTTGGGCAATCTTCCTTCTAGCAGCTTTATAGTTAGGGGAGAGCAGACACAACCAATGATATAACTCAGTAGATTCAGGGAGAAGGCAAAGCTTCTGGAGGGGGCATAGTCTGGGAAGAGTCTGGAAATTTGGACAGAGTAATCCACATTTTGACTGTAATCTGGAGGTTAGGAGATTACTAGGCTGGTCCAAATGCAAATTTCTCCAAGCCACCCCAGAGTATAAAAATCCCAGGGCCTTCAGTAAGAAAACTGGGTCTGCCTCAAATGAGGATCTGCCGGTGAAGCTCATGTTTTGGGTTTTTTTTAATCTGCGCTCAGTCGTTACCGACTCTGCAGTGACTGCTTGGACGAGTCCTTGGAGTTTTCAAGGCAATTGTTTCAGAAGTGGTTTGCCAGAGCCTCCTTCACGGTTTTTCGCGCTTACCGGCAACTGCTCCCGACTCCTTTTTTGCAAGGCGCCGCCAGCATTTTTCCTCCCACTGG